TTCATGAAAAACAAATGTACATTGTCGAAAATCACAATATTGAATATTGTATTTAAAAGGTTGTAGGTTAGTCTTAGATTTAAGATAGTACTTAAATAAAAAATTGAATGGGGTGATTATATTATTACGATATTAAAAAACATATTATGAAATGTAATTTTAGTGATGTTACGTAGGTTAACAAACTTTTTTCGCTCAAAATACCAAGAAATAAATTAAGTAGATAAAAAAATCTTAAGAATTTTTTTTTTATTTATTTATTAAATTTTTAATTTATCAACAAAATTTTTGTTTTTACAATGTGTTTTTTTTTTTTTGTAATAAACTAAATAATTAAATAATATAATAATAAAATAAATTATTTATACATTATTTTAACTTAGTTACGTGTATTTGTGTTATGAATTATTATCATTATCATCTTAGATTATTGTTCAGATAATATCGATGATGTAGATTCTGGAGGTAGCAAGGTATCTTGTTAGAGACGTGGCTTTAGTCTTTAAGTATATTTAAAAATTGCAATAATTAAATTTTGAATTACTGAAATATTGAAGAAAACATAAGGTGAGCATGCATGGTGAATCACTTTAAATGTGTATTAATAATACTATTTATATTTAATTATTATTTAAAATTTAATTAAATAAATTATTTTATTAATTTAATATTATATGAATGTATACTTATTATACTGTAAAAAATATATAAAATTACAACAATTATTGCTGGATTTTCACCAGAAATTAGCGTTTCAAATTTTTTTGATATGTCATATATAACTAATATATGTAGGTGAATATTTTTCAATAGATTTATATACCCTTAAATTTATTATTCGATGTGTTGGTGTACAAATGATGCAATGACATTATTTTAGTGCAGCCAAATATACGCTGTGTAAACGATGACCGTCGATTATAAATATATATGATAAACAATAATTAACATAACGTAATGAAATGCTCGTTATCAATAATAGGACAGCGTGGTGTCCGATGATGGATCAGATTTATGCAATTTTACCCCTCTGTAGGTCGTTTCTATTACGAATTCGGATCTATACGCGTGTAGAGTTATTATCATTGCAATGGTCTCATGGACTGACTAAATGCAGACGTAGGACATCTACCGATGTAACTCGCGAGTGCTCGCGGCGATTCTTTCTCTACAGCAGTGGGGTCGGTTTGTCTGATGCCTCGGTCGACGGCACAATATTATAATATAATATCGTGATCACGATTCGTGACACATACCATTGAGATTTCATGTACCACCGCCCATGGACATCTCTTTAACAGCTCATTATACGTGTTATACCCACATGTTTTATTATAATATTGTATGATAAATGTATTTTGTAGATTATGATCTGACAACTATACTACCTACTTATTATAATACGTTCAAACGGCGTTGAATCCTTGAACTATGATATGAACATTATTGAAATGATATCGTTTATATATAGTAATACGGTTCATACAATGCACACAAGTATACCATGATAAATATGGTAATATTTAAAATAAATATAACAATACTTTGGTCGTTTGGTACCTTTAAATATGATTAATACTATAATTTTATTGTAAGTGATACTTAAAACAGTGTAAAGTTAAAGTATTATTAGTAAGTCTTTAAAAATATCCTATAAAAACATTGAACTTTTTAAAATACGAATTATTTATTAACTATTGTGATTTATAATATTAATCAATTAAAATTTTTTTAATATAAATTGCTATTTTGAAAACTAAATATTAACAAATATTTTCTATTATTGAGTGTGATAAGTAATAACATTTAAAAATGTAGACAAATATGTACAACTCTCTATTGGCATTAATTGAAAATTACTCATTATTATAAATAGCTAAAAAGAGATGAATTATTTTTATAATTTTATTGTAAATAAAAATCGACAATTTATACATTTGGGGAAAATTTCAAATAACTATGGTAGTTCATTATCGAATAATACCAACAAAATTGATTTTGTTTAAAATCCATTTTTCTAATTTAATTTTCGATTAAGAAAAAAAGTATTGGGGATATTTTACTTTTGACTCCCTAAAGTACCGATTAAATATACTTTTTTTACCAGATACCACCTCAATTTTTACCGCTTAAAAAGGTGATGACAAACAGAAAAAAAACAACACACACATTATTGTAAAATCAATACCTACATCGTTTCGTTCAGAATCTAAAATAAAATCTCATGAAGTTTTAACGCAAACATTTATATAAAAACGTAAATAAGTTCTCTCCTAGTAATCTTGAAAATTACTTTTGCTGATATAATTGTTTAGAAAAGCTACATTTAAAATAATATATATGTTAGTGGTAAATTATTTTTAAACCAAATGATCGTAAAAGTAAATTAAGGAAAAAATCCATTATTTTAAAAGGTCACATCGACAAACATAGAGTGGTATAAAAAAAAAAAATATAATGGTCTATTCACTACTGGTATTATTATCTATTAGTTTTTATTAAATAATGAAAAAATGTGTTTTATATTTCATGTTTTGTTTATAATCAAATTTTAATTTTTCAAGTATAGTATTTTTATGTGTTTGCTCTTAAAATTTTTTAAATTATCAATTTATCAAGTATTTATTTTGTAAATGACCCTTACACGAACTATCTCAATTCGCATACATATTATTTTATTTTTTATCAATATAATTTTTAAATGATGAGTAATTGTTAAGCAAACAATTAAAAATAATATTATAGTTGTATTAATATAATTTATTGTTCGTGTTTATAATACACAGTAAACTTGTAATAATAATGATTAAAAAATATAATAAAAAGTACATAATGTTTAATAATTCATTCAAAAATGATTTGAGAAATATATTGGTTTTAGATAATGTTATTTATTTTATGATTATTACGCAAAACCTAGGAAGTTAAGGTATTACTTATTTGTAACATTTTATCGAATACTTATCAAGTATTAAAATACATACGAAAAAAAAAAAAATCACACATTATTATAAAATCCATACATTTATCACTTTATTCGCAATCCAAAATAAATTGTTACTTTTTTTTTGGTTTTTATTGACATGATGACCTAGTTAAAAATATGTATCTTATAATGCAAATATAAATGTTGTTAGTATTATCATAATTTGATTAAATCGTTGTACTGTTCAATGTCCTATATTACCCTTTTTAATAAAGATTAAGAAGAAGGATGTAAATGGTAATGTTAAACGCCATGGTTCTTTCATCATTATGTTGAAATAACTATTTTTTCTTTAAAATGTTCGTGAAAAAATTACGATATTATAACATTACGCCTAAAAATGTATTGAAATATGCAACACAATAATCACGTACAGCCAAAAATCGGTATGACTAGATCATAACGAAATTTAAATCATAATAAAATACGTATTTTGCAAATATTAAAAGTTATTGTATAAAACTGTATTTATTTGTGTGTTATAAACATAGTTATTTTTATATTTTACAATTCATATACAATTAAGACAACAATCAAGTATGATTGAGTTCAAAATATGAAATGTGTTTGGCTTTTTTTTTATTTTACCCCAATGTATATTATTTTATTTGTTATTTAGATAATATGCACATGGTACACTGAATAAATATTTAAGGAAAATTAAAATATAAAAGTTTGTATGATTTGTATTTTTGTATTTTAAATGTTAAGAATTGATGTTATATATTCAATTTTATTTAAATATTTTGTTTGTAATTATTTTTACTATGCAAAAAAAAAAAAAAAATAATTAGCTAGTTATTTTTTTTTTTATGAATTTTTAAAAATAATATAAAAGTAGACATATTGTATTAATTATTATTATTATAAGATTGTTTATTTTTTATTATTTTATTATAAAGATATAATATGAACAAAATATTATTACAGTTGTCAATTGTAAAACATAAATGACTCAAAAAGGTAATAAGAATAACATTGTATCTATAATGCCAATAATAACACTATATTACATAATATTTACTTAATTTTTTTAAAATTAATTACACATAAAGATAATATGAATTAAAGACACTGTAAGACATATTTAATACTTAAATTTGTATATGTATATATTATTGGAGCATATTTTGTATTCACACATATTTAATTTTAAAGAATTATTGATAATATATGATATTTTATGTTTTTTAAACAATTTAGCTTAATAATGTTTACAAGAAATATAATTTGAGAAATGTTGCAATGCTTTATTACAGATAAATTAATTTTCTTATAACGATGCGAAATTACATAATTTTGGGGTTTTATATTATTGTTAAAATTACCTGAAATCTGAATAACTATTATTCGATAAAGGTGGATTGCCAAAAATGAAAAGAATAATTGGGTACCCATTCTGGAAATGTTCCAATACATTTGCGGCTAGATATATAATAATATTAAAGTTTTATTTTTCATTATAAGCAATGTGTTTTTTTTCTTGATAGTTTCGACTTCTACCATTTTGGCATTGACCCAATGTTTACAAAAGTTCCTTAAAAACTGTTCCAAATAGCATATATTATTAATGTGTATTAAGCTGTAAGCAGATATGATCGCTATTAGGGTTTTTTTATGATAAAGTTACAGCGAAAAATTAGTAACGAATTAAGTTCAAGTGTAAGTTAATATAACAGTAATGTTGTAAGTGTACCTGTATTATAGTTTCATTGTAAACATTTTGGTAAAGATCATAGAATTTCAAAATAAGTTATTAATGCCTTGATTTAAGTTTTAGTAAACAACTTAATTATATATACAGTCTTGCGATTATAATAATATTGTATTATATACCTATATAATGAAGATGACAAAATAATTATCACATTACAATTAATTAAATGAACAAATTTTTATTTTTATTAAAAATACGTTTTATAAAATTATTTTTAAGTACTCGAAGATTTTATTGTTGTATTCAGATAGTATGTTGTCGTAAAGATCGTGGTACACACGGATGATTATTTTGCGTTTACGGACGTACATATCTTTGATCCCAGCATTGTTGTTGTGAGGAGCCAAACAAAAGAAATAGTATGCTACACGCAATTGAGAATATGATAGTCACCTGGAATGTTATGCTCCAATTCATAGTGTCTGCAAATAAATTTCGAACCAGCACTAAATCAATTATATTACCCATAGAGTAAAAAATATCACACATGGCTATTAGACTTCCCACATAACCTGAAATTTAATAATAAATTCAATGAAATTTTTCTTAAAGGTAATTGTTGATTATAAATAATAATCATATTTTAAAACGCACGCGTATGCACACGTGAGTGTTTTCACAAAAAAATTATGTAGATCTAAAAACATAATAATAATAAAAAAAAAATATATAGTACTATGTAATTTCTTTTGTGAGTAAGACGTATATTGGGTATTTATTTGTAGTATAATTATTACGAACGTGTTTTATAATAGGTTGATATTAAGTAAAATTGAATAAAATATACACAATAATATAGATGGGAAGCTAGAGTTTAAAAAATATATTCTGAAATTAAAAGGAGTTTATTATTATTTGATCTGAATATTACTAACTAGGACATAAGTCTAGAGAATTTATTCGGATGCTGCTTCGTTCGAAGCCCAATAATATTACAGTCATTCTCATAAATATTCTGGCTAACGACTCGTTACATTCTGCAATCATGACACCCAAAAGCATTATCGGTGATCCTATCAACACAATACCGACGTACAGCTTTCTGACCTTTATTTTCGTATTCGTGTCAACGTTCGTTAAAGACGCGGCTGAGATTCCTGCGAATATAGACAAAATCCAACTGATTATCCAAGACACAGATACTTGTATACCGGTTTTCACAGCATCGCCGCCTAGGACATTGGCGCTATAAATCGGTAGCCCGGTAGTGATAAAGCTATATAAAAATCCGAAACTAAAAAAAATAAACGGGTATGAAAAACATAATATTATAATTATTTATTGATATATGTTAGTAGTGATACATTTGTAATATGACAGGTGTAATATTTGTGTACCTATTTACGTAGTTGTTTTAAATGTGCATAAAACAAACGTAACTTACGATTAAGAGAACTAGATCTCGTCTGTGTTTTTTTTTTTTTTTTTTAATTTAAATCAATTTATCTTTTGTTAACTGTATAAAATATTCTAATCATTTGTTAAGATTATTGAAAACATATTTCAATTCGTAATGAAGCTAATATATAAAAAAAAAAAAAAAAAAATTATACATTTTTTTAAAACCATGCTCTTAAACTCTACAAAATAATATATAAAAAATACTTTAAATATAAAGAATTGTTTAACCATTAATGGAGTGAAAAATGTAAGAAAGTTTTTTCAAAGTAAATTAAATGACAAATTTAAAATGAAATTTTATCGGGTAAATAGGTTAACAAATACAATTGCTAAAAGATTGATAACTTTTACAGAAAAAACAAAAATTATTTATGTTTGTTTTGTGCTATATTGATATGTGTAAGTACGTCCATGAGCGATCCAATATTTCTTTTACACACAGTCACATACATTAATGATCCCTTTCTATCATGATTTTATCTATATCCTGCTTTCCACACTCCATTTAAACAACCCACATAAACACATTTAGAAACTACCCATATTGAACTTCAACTATCAAATCCCCTTAAAATGTATCATATTACTATTTCAGATAAGTAGATAAATATTTTCTTTGTCTTGAATAAGATTAGTGTTGTAATTAAGTAAGCTATGTTTTAATATTTTAAAATATTAAATAATATATTAAATATTTTAATATTTTGTTTTAATTTTTTAACTTTTTATAAATTAGTTATCTTTTTTTTTTTTAATTTTGAGAAAAAATATCAACATATATTTAAATATATTAAATCATATCATGTATATATATTCATGTTTTATTTTTTAATAATGAATTTAGAAATTTTTTTATCATACTCAAGGATCATATTTTTAGTTTTTTATTTTTATATCGTTTTATAAGTTTCTTGTGGTAATATTATTTTTTATTTTACATAATATATAAGTACCACCTATTTTTTTATATATAAATTGTTAACTTATAAAAATGTAACTTATTAAATTCATTATTATGGAAAAAATGTCGATAAACATTTTTGATGTAACACTCTGTATAATTTATATATATATATATATTTACATACTTTATACAATATACATATTAACTGTTTTGATTAATTATCTATTCTTTAGTTGTATTTTTCAAAGAATGTACAAAGTATATACGTATTTAATCAATAATTATAAAAAAAAAAAATCTAAGTATGACCACAACTTTTGGATAATAACAATATACGGTACACAGTAGAATAAAAAATCGAATAGTTTCGCAGGAATAACTTGTTTCCTTAACTTAACCTATCTGACTTATCTGGTATCTGATATTTTATTCATTAAAATCATAACGATGTAATAATATAATATTAAGTAACAATAAATTTGTTGTCACTACGCGACGTCTCCCTTACCCAAACGATGCGTTCAGCAAGCTAATGAACGGCATTGATCGCATGATCACGGTCCACGCCGTTGAGATGAACGACACGGACTTAGGGCTGTCGCTGAAGTCGTTAACGTATGGTGTCAGATGAATCATAGTCCCCCACACGGCGGCCCAGACAAACCCGATGACAGACAGCGCTAAAAAGCTGCCGTCGAGTGATACGTTAGGTATGACTATTCCGCTGTACAAATGCCCGAAGAAGCCGCCAAATACCGTGCCGGAGAACATAAACGTCGTGTACAGGATCCTGTTGGTTTTTGGTATGATTTTACCGGCCAATGTTCCACCACACGAGCCAGTCGGTCCGAACGCACACCTGAATATCGAAATCGGTGATGGACAACATTTTATAAAACAGTAATCACGAACTTAAAACAATAAAATATTAGAAATTAGAATAATCTTAAGGAATAAAGAGAATAATTTCGATGTGGATATTACGCATAGGTATTATCTACATATCACCACAATGTTCTTACTATTCGTTATTCTTATTTGTTAAGTAGTTGATTTCTAAACAATATTGTACTCCAGTTTAATTGTTGATATTATATAAATTGTTTTTTTTTTTTTTTTTTTTTTTTTTGATTGAAATCAAGTAATATCTTAGAAAATATAAGAAATTACATTTAATAACTTTTTTAACTTCCAATATGTAATGTTTATTGACGTTTATTTACAATTTAATATAATCTATAAAGGTTTTTTTAAACCAAGCATCTATGAGTAGTTAGACATAAATGATAATATTATATATCCCCAGCATGATATATTATGATATATTACCCAGCAGTAATATTTTTGAGTTTCTGAATTCGTAGGATCTAAACGGCTCCCGTCTATTGTTTGCTTATTTCCAAACGGCTCCAGTTGAAAAAGAATGTACAAACAAGTATAATTGTATGATTGTAAACTTTACAATAATTATATATGCACGCCTGTCTGATCGAAAAAATCATTTACAAGTTTTCATCAAATAAAATAGTACGCATAGACTTTACAAAAAGATTGTGCTTAACAAATTTACCCCATATATGATTTTTTTTTTTAGTATTTTTATTTATATAAACATTTTTTCCATTATTTATATTTTTTAACGTTAACAATTTAAAATTTCATATTATACTATAAGATTTTTTTTACATAATTTTAATAACTTACTTAGTGTACACCAAGACATTTTTAATCACACTTCTTTTGAGAGACAGTTCTAAATCTGTATAAAGTGGGAAGATATTTGTATTGTAAAAAACCGGAGCCGTTTAGGAATTTATCTGATCGTTAGATCTTTTTGGACGGGAGCCGTTTGGAATATGGCATTTTTGTAAAACAGGAGCCGAATGGGCTACGACCTCTGAATTATACATTTTTATTTTTTTCTATGATTTATTTTTGAAATCGACATTTCTACATATTTTCTGAAATATTGTAAAGTTTGTGAAAAATTAATCTTTCTTTATAATCGACTTAATACCATTAGACATGGGTGGCCTTATAATCGTTTTAAGGAGATTATTTAGATAGGTATAATAGTCTTAAGAGAGTTAATGATTATATGTTGGATTAGGCTGTAAGTAAGCTATATATTCGGGTCTTCCTACATTACGTTTTTGGCCGCATCGAAATTATTACTTTACTATAACAGCATTGTGTATACTGTTATTTTATTTTCAGACTAAAGTTTGGAATTAAGATCGCTGCTTATTGCTTGCAGATATTAAATTATCGTAAATTATACACTGATAAGCTGCTTGGATAAAAAGGGTAATATTCTGGTATATCCAATGCATTTAAAACGAACGCTAACGAACGTAAATCAGCAAAAAATGTACAAATATATGTGCATTATGTATACAATTTTAGGTTAGGTATACATATCTACACTACATATTATATTAAACAATGATATAATATATTGTATATAGTCAGTAATTATATATTAGACACGATTCATATTTTATTTTATTTATAGAACGTGAATTTCTAATCGATTTAATATACCTAGTAAAATAATGTAGATACAAAAAAGTCACATGTAAATTAACTATGTGTAGGTAATGTTTAGGTTAATGTGACTAAGTAGAAATAATTAAATAATTTTTACCTAAATGAACTCGTATAAAAGAATAAAGCCAAAATGAAAACTTTTAAATTTAAACTCGGAGGTTATTTCTTTCAGACTATATTTTGGATTTTTATAAATAATATATTTGTTCAGGTACTTAATTGAAAATATTTTAATCACCTATTAAAATGGAGAATTTACTTGTCTGTTTTGATTGTCAACTATTTTAGTTAATATTTTTTTTTTAAATCATAAAATAAAATCTAAAAATAGAAATTTTAACAAGTGAATATTATATTTGAATAGATTTTAGAACATCTTAATAGGTATTATATTATTTACTGTAGATTTTATGGTATTATTTTTTATTACCTAAAATGATACTAAATATATACCTAGTTCGTAATATGTTAAATTTACTCATATATTATAAATTAAATTCTATATCATACAAAAGTAAGTATAGAAATAATACTTATTAGTAACAACATATAGTTTACAATTTTAATTTAAACTATATAGCTGTGTTAAAACGAGAAAAATAAATAATAATGTCTAATCGATTCCTTTAACTGTAAACTAATTTTAAATTATTATGAATATTAGTTTTGTTAGGTAAATATATCATACAGTATACGAAATGTGCACATCTTTTGCTAGTTTAGTTAATAGGATACATTATTTCATAATGTTATGAGGAATTTAATCATTAGTGACTAGTGACGTACGAAATTGGCAAATAAATATGTTTAATAAAAAAAATAACTGTATAGATTTTACACTATGGTTGTCAAATAATAATCCATTTAGGAATTAAGAACATTACACAGTACTAGTAAAAAGCTTTAATAATAAAAATATAGGTCGAGATGTTAACTTTGTTTCAAAGTTTTAAGATTAAGAGTTTATAAAAGAAATAAAAACTATATGGTATACGTTTAAAAAAGTCCACCGATTTGCGTGTACGTTGGGAGGATTGCTGTAAAAAGTTAAACATACCTAAAAAAACAAGTATATTTATATATAAATAGGCTGTCTAAAATAAAAACAGATATATTGTAAAAAAAACATAATATTTTATTTTATTTAACTTGACTGAAATTGATATTTATATTCGACAACTATTGTATAATTCAAATCATAACTACGTTTTGTATATTATCTTAATATCGTTAGAGTTATAAATAAATACAAATGAGAAATATTTTTAATTTAAAATTAAAAAGTACTTTACACTTTCATTTTATATAATGCATTCAACTAAGAGCAATGAAGAATTTAAGGAATTATGTAGATATAAAATATTCAATAGGTAGTACACAAAATGTATGCATGAATACTTAAGATTGGTTATCTTGGATATTAATTGTACAAAAGTGTATTACATTTCTAAACGTGTAAAATATTTGCACATTCTTCTTGATACATATTTTTCATTAGTTTGTAGTTTTTTTTTCGTATATAATTTTGTTGCAAAATAATATGTTAAAAATGTATAAAATACTAATTTAATGTTCACAGCAAAATAACTTTATTTTGTAAAAAAATGAAAGATAAAATCATATAACTTGCATATAATTATAATACAAAGTACTTATTTTTAAATATTTTAATATAAAATAAGAAATTATATATAATTATAATTGGTAATAGTAAAATATAAAAGTTATTTCCAACATAGTTCAAGGTCTTTAAAATTAATATTTAATTTTGATTTCTATAGTTATGCGAGTATTGATAATAAATGATAATTGTAGTTGTTTAATAATATAGAAAAAAATAAAACCAAATTGTTGGTTGGTCATTTCATATTTTTAACGCAAATTATCTATTTTTAATACATAAATATATTTTTTTTACTTTAGTTTATTATTATCATTATTTGTATCTACGCTATACTCAAAAAATTTAAACATAAGTGTTATAAGTATGTAATATAACAAGTTATAACCCAAATAAATCACAATTTTTATGAGTATTTCACATGCAATTACTTTAGATACTTAGGTACATGAAAAAAAAAAAATAAAAATATTTAACCAAAATAAAAAAAAACACTCAACATTTTTATGTTACATAATATTGTTGATGCTCCTACTATCAACTGTTTTTTTTGATTAAAAATAATAGTACGCTTTTTAGTATATATAGTATAGGTACTATAAAATGTATGTTTTTAAATTATAATTAAATTATTAATAATATTATGAATAGTAGTTATGTTGCTTTAAAAGAAAAAACTTAATTCATTTACAATACGTGATGAAGTATAATTATTACGATTATTCAGTAATTATTATTTATTTTTAAAGTAGATTTAGCTGACAATGCCCAATAAACCAACGTATTGGTTTCAACATTCTAAAAGTTTTCTATTGTGCTATAAACAACTCAATTTATTTCGTAAATACAAATTGATGATTATTGGTGTTTGTATTTATGTTCAGTATAAATGAGAATAATAGAATAATAAAATATTGGTACACTATGTTAAATATATATTTAAATTTGTCAACAATGAATTTTCTTGTTTCCCACATATTAGATTTAGAAAGTAAGTAGATCATTATTTTTTTTTGCATATCATTGTGTATAATAAATTATATTGAGTTTACAACAAAAGTTTTGATAAAATGATTAAAAATACATATAAATAGCTTAATCATATTAAATAATTTATCTATTGTTACAACTGTTATATCTTACGAGAAGACTTGAATAATATACAATTATTATGTTGAAACAAATAAAACTTCAAATTCTACGAAAAACCATTTAAGCATAATGTTGTCGTTAAATTAAAATAAATAAACATAACTTAAAATGTATACCTATGAATAATTAAGAACAATTTTTTTGTACTGTTTGAGTAATTATTTTTTCAAGTTTTGAATCTTAGAAAATAAAAAAAAATGATTACTTAACAATTTCCAAATAAATTGGATCATATTTCTATATTTATATCAAAAAAGTTAAATTTTGAAAATCAATTATCGTTAACATTATAAAACAAATAAAAAAAAGAAAATTCAAATCTATTAAATAATTTTTTTTTAAATTAAATTAAAAAAACATCAAGTCATCAAAAGATGAAAGTAATGAGTATAAGTATTGAGCCTGAAAGCTCAATATTATTTTAGTATCGTGCGTTTGGGTGAATGACCTTTATACCTTCATAATAAAAGCAACGTGTTTAAGCAACACCCTCATAACAGGTTTTAAGAAGTTTGTTATAATGTGTTTAATTAAATACGATATAATATGAAATTACTGATTATATAATTGAAACATATCTTTCAGAAGATTTTATTTTTCCTTCTTATTTATTGTCAATATTGTCAAAAAAAACTTACTAATAATACATCCATAACTAATAGAGTCAAATCATTCCAGACGCATTTTAATTTTAAATTTTATTAATTTAATCCAAATATGATAAATTAAATGAGAAAGTAACACAAAATACTATGCTATAAGTAAAAATATTGATCACATTCAATAAAAAGTTTTATTAAATTAGCAATAATATTTAACAAGAAATCAATATAAGTATAATATGTTAGATGAAATAAAAATAAAAATAATATAATAGTCTTAATATTACTATATTTTAAATTGATTCATGTTTTAATCACTCAAAAAATAGTACATATAAATATATTATTAAGTACCATACTTTTTGAAATCATATGCAGCCATAAGTCTTTGAAAATCATAAAATACTAGCAAAATGTAATACAGAATTTAAAAAATCGTATCGTTTAATACACATTTCTATTTTTAAGAGCTCATATAAATACAAACTTCTTATTATTCACAATCATTCCTTATAGTAATTGAGAAAACTGAGAATTCGATAAAATACATTGTCGCTCACTCAAATATGTATCATAATATAATGATACCTACGTATAATAATAATATGTCGTATTATTATATTATAATCGTTGTAAGGCAAACAAAATATTCACTAGGAATCTACAAAAAGAGAACAAGACGAACTGAGATAAAGGATAAGGAGAATACAACATTTTCGAAACGGTCATTATTATGGCTATTTCTGCAACTGCGTGTTTAAAATATGGTAACGACTGTAGATTGTCGGTCGGAAAATGGAAGAGGATACGTCGTCGTGGCGATTGCGGTGAAGCCGGGTTTAAATGCGATGTTTATATTATGCTGTTATATAAGAATAAATATACAGCGCGGAAAATGACACGTTAATAATAACATTATAATACGTTATGACATTGTAATACAATGCATACACCTAATAATAAACTGAAGGTTCTCGTGTCTCGGAATCGCGCGTGGCGGTCTATCAGTTAGCACCAGCCAGTACCGTACTGAATTCATCTTTTATTGCAATATTTCGTAACACTTTTTCAACCGACAATAATTAAAATATTCTATTATTATCATTAATATCGTTGTTCGTATAAGTAGTACACTGTACAAGTAATAGAATACGTATTGCGCGACGTTAATATTGGCGTAGGTAACTACCCCGTATAATGTAATTTGTAGCTGAATAATATCGTGATATTCTATTAAATTTGTTTTTATTCGACCATACGCGTTGGTGCCTACATTACAGTATTTTATCGTTAGCACAAACTTGGCGAATACAAATTTTTTCGATCCCGAAAATGTCCCACTAAAATATTTTAATGTAGGATTTTTTTGATTTTTTTAGTTTACACAAATTTTTTGGTATTAACTTAAACACATTTTAGTAAACCATATTTTTACTGTGTTGGTCAACGCGAATAAGAAATTCTCGTTTTTATTTTCGTTTCATTACATGATTTTATCACTCGACAACATAGTTAAGTAGTACAATAATAAAATTATTCAACGATATTTTCGCCTCTCTTGTTTAGTATTAATCGTTCTCGTCCAAATAAATTGCTCGGTCGATCGGATCAATTTGTTTTTTTTGTTGATTTATTGTGTTGAAATAGAAATTTTAAGTTATTTTATTAATTTTTAATGAATATTTATAGATTATTCGAGTTTTTAGAGTGTACAATTCGATACCTAATTCAAAATATTTTATGTCATACGTAGTATGTATAATATATTTGAGTAATTTATAATCAGCCAATAAAATAATTTTGAAGATATCTCTGTATTTTAGGGTAAAGTAAAGTTTGGTTAATAATAATATAAATCGAATGCTGTTTATGCATTTCAACGATAAAATAATAATTCGATAACGGTGTTGAAGATATATATTTCACGATCATGACAGTAGTGGTTCTGTTCATTCGATAAGTAATATCTTAAGTGTAGTTTATATACAGGTTAATATAATGTGCTTAAAAAAGTTTTGACATGATAAATTTAGTTTAAACTATTTAACTGTTAATAATATAATATTATTTAAATAAAAAAAAAAATCAAGAATGGAATAATCACCGTTAGTTTTTATTTTTAGAAAAAAATATCGAAATTTTAATCATGATTATTTATAAGCCAATTTATGTATTTAGCACTTAATTATTTATTGTAATTATTATAATATTTTTTAGTGAAATTCGAGTTACCTAAAGAGAAAAATACACGAGTCTGTTTAATTTTTTTGACTTCCCATAATACATTAGTTGATAAACAATTTATAAGAATTACAAAAGTAAAAAAAAAAAAAAAATGTAATATTATGCAATATGATTCTTGATAAATTATATTTGTTTAAAGTTATATTGATAAAAATTAGATATTATACATATTATTAAATGTTGATAAAAGTATATCTAGTTATTTGACTTTTACAATTGTTATTCAAAACATTTAATACTTTTTAATTCATGTTTAGAAATCTAAAAGACTATATATATTATTTTAGTTAATGTTAAAAATTTATTTTACAAAATATAAGAACAAAAATACAATTTATGAAAATATTAATAAAATATATACAATGCACGAATACATATTTTTATGTATTATTGACTAATGATAAATATTTTATTGTGAATTATTATGATACACATTAGAAATGTTATTGGAGTATAATGATAGATATAAACCGCAGTTTTTAAGATAAAGATTAACGTGGTTAATGAAAAGCCGTTAATACAAAAGTCGGAAGTCCTGTCAGACGCAATGTGCTTTGGTTATTATCTAACAGCCTTGTTGATGACTTTTCAAGCTGTGTGCAATCATATTAAAATAAAATAAAAATGAAACTTATATCTATCCGATACATCTGTGTTTTTTTAAAATATCTACGGAGATACAACGATTGACGACCATCTCCCACAACCCACATTTATGCTATATTGATGAACATCCTATAATATTTTAATCGTTAATTTATGAAAAGTGTGTATTGCGTCCAATATATAACTTGATAACATTCCCAGCTTATAAAAAAGGCAGAATTTAACGTAAGTATCTAATTCATAAAATAAGAAAATAATTTTATATAATTACATATGTAAAATATTATAGTAATATCTTACTAGAATAAAATTTAAAACGTAGGTTGACTAATTCTAATATATAGTGATCAGTAAGTTAATGGAAACAATAATTAATTTAAGTTAGTAAAAAAATAAAAAGACGATATTTAGAAAGTTTAATTATAAGTTAATAGTTAAATAACAAATAGTTCATCTAAATATTAAAAATAGTTTAAGTGGAGAAAATATTAATTTAATTAAAAACAAATATTCTTAAATTAAAATACCACCCAGGTGGGAAATTTCGTTTGTTGTTATCTAACTTTTAATTTTTTTTAACAATACATACATTTGTTGTTTTGGTTGTTACAATATTCAATGTTGCTGCAAAATAGCTATAGTGGTCTATGCAATTTTTTGTAAGTGTTGATTAAATTATTAAATATAAGAATATTTATTTTTTTATTTGTATATAATATTATTGTAAACATAGTAGTTAAAAATAAATTGTATTTAGCTACATATTAAGTATGGAATACAATTTTTATTATAGGTTTATTATATAATATATATTTATATATACATGACTTAAACTTATTTTCATTATTCTTAAATCGATTAGAAAAATATGCATTAGATAGTTGTTTCACTAATCTAGTAATTGATTAGTAAATTAACTAATTCATTGAATACATTTTTAGTTTGAGTTTAACTTTTTGACTTGTTAATACACACTTTTTCTCATTTAACGAACGAATCACCATGCTGCATATCATTTTCGACATTAATGTTTAAGGGTCAAACAAGGTCGGGATATCAGATCAATAATATGTTTTATAGACTGACAAATACATATTTATGATCTTATGTTTTTCCTAAAAGAGAAAAACTAAAGTTTTTTTTTTCATTTATTCAAATTCTAATTTTTTGATTTTTTTAAGTATAAGTACTTAAGCACTACAATAATATGCATATTTTAAAACTCTTGTGACTTTTTTTTTACTTATGTTCTGTGTAAATGTAAGTTTATGTGTTTCAAAAGAGAAGCTTCTTTTTCTATTATAAAATATTAAGTAGATCATTTTTTTGGAAAACTTTTAAGCATCAAAATCAAAAGTATAAAAAAAGTTTTTAAATTATTATCAACTTTGTGTACTAAGAATAATAATAGGTTTATAATAATGTATTTAGAAGATATTGACAGACTATTGTAATTTGAAAATTCTTGTTTGAAAAACATAAATTTGTATCGTTACTGATTACACCTCAAAAAAAAAAAAAAAAAAAAAATGATTGAAAAAAATATAGAAAATACGAGATAAAAAATGAAATATAAATATAATAAATATAACAATATCCATGTATTATAATATGAAAGTATAATATTTAAAAATTCTAAAAATCAAAATTCGAATTCTTGAAATATTAAAAAAAAAAAATCGGAGTTATGTCGCTTGGTGAATCGTTCCGTTAAGTTATGTGGCCACGCGTCACATGACACGCGCTAGACAACGCCACGTCGCGCGACACATCGTGCGAGAAACTAACCTATGAAAATCGTCTGACCCGACCTTACCCTTGCAGGAACCTGAGCAACGTGACGGCCATCCAACTCTCGCGATGCGCGAACGCGACCGGCACCAGCGCCACCGTAGCGGCCGTGACGGCCACACACCACATCATTATTGACCGCTCGTAACCGCGGCTCGAGTACACGCCGCCCGGGAGCGTGGACACCAGCGTGCCGAAAAAGTACGCGCCCATCGTGGCCGCCTGTTGCCGGATCGTCCAGTCCAGCCGGCCGGCCACCGCGGTCGTGGAGTTCGCTCCCACGTTCAGCGCGGCGCCCGGGCACAGCGGCCGGTCGACTGGCGCGGCCACCAGCGGTTCGGTCATCACGACCATCATCGAGTACGTGAAATGTAACCGGACGGTCAGCAGGAACGAATACGCGAGAAACGTCATCGTCAGCCAACCGTTGGTCGCGCATCTCTTCCGGCGCTGCCTCTGATCGTACAATCCGATCACGCAGTCGTTGTTGTTGTTGTTGTTGTTGTTGTCGTCGTCGTCGTCTCTGCCGTCGAAGTTTCTATCGTCGTTGTAGTGTTGTTGCCGCATGTCGTACATCGAGTTCGTAATTAATTGTGTTACTTTGATCTATCGTTGCAACAGCGAACGGAGACGACAGATCGTCGTTATCGCGTTATGTATATCGAATGCAAATGTTAATACATCGACATACATTTCAACTATTGAATCACCACAAAAGTATTTAATATTATTTCGTATTCATTTACGAGTCGGCGGGCGTCCCTAAAATTCGGACCGTTTGGGGATGGGGGGGGGGGGGGGGGGGGGGGGAGATATGCGAAAACTTAAGGTACAAATACGGTTTTTGCACACTGTTGTTTTGTTAATAATAAGCGTAATGTTAAGTAAATATTTATTATAATTACAGGCACGTTGAGAGGACGTCGTACTTATACACGCGCTGCAGTCTTTGCAGATCTCACTGACGTACAATAATATGGCACGTTCTAAGTTCAGAATAATCGATTTTATTTTGTTTAATAATTAAATATTGTTCTTCAAAACATGATTTTGAACTGCTCGATGGGTGCAATTAACATTTATTTACATTTAAACTACATTTATTTTTATTCTATTTACTCTTCTATATTTATCTATAGTTTTATAATATGTAGGTTCCTAATGGTATCAACTGTATACATCAACCTAATATAGTTTTTACTATGTTCGTGAGTTTTAGTATTTTTTACTATAAATTTACATTAGTAAAATTACTTTTGAAACTAAATCCATCTGTGTTATATTTTCGTCTGTTATCTTTTTATGTTTATATTTATTATATTTTTGTTTCTGGGCAGTTTAATTATCAGTGTCTGACATGTTAAAAAATTACTACTCATAACTTGGGTCAAATATAAATAGTTTATTGTGCTGAAGTTTTGATTTTTCTAACACCTATTTTTTACCTCTTCTCGAATAAGTGGAACGGGTTTCTTTTAAATCAATATCGACCTTTATTACACGAATTTCAACACTTAGGGAGTAAATATTGTCTATTTTTTTTTTTTTTTTTTATTGAGTCATGCTGAGAATTGACAAAATTATAAAATATGTTTTTTATTGTACTACTTTTTATTTGAAAATTATTTTGTATAATATTAGCTATAGAATAAGTTTTATGCTTGGAAAGAAAATTAAATAAGAAATATATGATAGAACAAAAAAAATATTTTTAATCATGCCTATAATTTATGACAACATCTCTATTTAAATTATTTTAAATTAATCTAAATTTGTAAAATTATTAAATTATACATGAATATTTACTTGGTTTGTCTATTCTACTTATGACTAAAACATTATTATACATAATTTAAATGTTCAAGTACATACTATATGATATATCTAGTTATATTAATATTTCATTTTTATGAGTACCTTCATATATAAATGCAAGTCAATCTATTATAACCAATGTATTTATTATCCCATACTAAATCTTTAATATTTGCTTAGTAAGTACAATATTAAATGAATATGGATAAAGAAGAAAAATTGTATTGTTTTAAATGGTTTAATTGTCCATTTACTGAATTTATTTTATTATTAGTGTCAACGTTTTATAAATATATTTTAAATTAAAATATCATATGGATAAGACAATTTAAAAACTTGAGTATTTCTCTTCCACAGTAAAATTATTTTTCAAATTCAATATTGAATAAGTTTTTTAGTCACATACATATTATGATCATGTATTTATTAATAAAAAAATACTTTCAAATTTTGAAACTTTGACAATATATTTTTATTTTGTTATTGTAAAATATTTCTAAGACAATAATTTATGAAATTTTATTTAAAAGCAAAATTTCTTGTAGCTTATAAAACTTTAATAACATCTTGAACTTACAAGGAAAAATAATTTATTAAACAATGTATTGCTCAATTTAATCATTTCAAATTAATGTATATAATTATTATTGGTTGTTTTTAAATAAATCTCAATTTTTAACTTAAATTGTTTCAGTTAAAAAAGCAGTTAAGTTTGAAATTTTAGTTTTAATACATTAAAACTAGTATGCTAAATCATATTTAATATATAATATAGTAAAGTGTTACATTTTAAAGTTATAATTTCAATAATTAAATTTAATATACTTGTAAAATACGTTTTGGCATCAGTTGACCAATGTTACTGACCACTAAAATATATAGATACTTACTCATATAGATAAGCCATAAATTAAATCAATTATTTAGTTATATAAAAATTGAAATTTGAACAAGTAGTTTATGAGTTATAAGCATTTAAAGTTTTGGTTGGTGGAGTGGTTTGGTACGGGAATACTCAACAAAATGTAGGTCTACTAGTCCAATAATTTATAATTGAAATGCTTATTACTTATTAACTACTTGATCGAATTTTAATTTATATAAATCGGAATATTTTGATAAATATTCTACTTCAGAATATAAAATTAAAAATGTATATAGTTATTCAAAAAGGTAAAAACCATGAAAAAATTATAATGATAAAAATATTAAAAAATATTGTTTTACTTTGACGGAAAATTGTATACAAAAAATATTTGAAAAAAAAGTTTATAGATTTTTAAACAATGAATTTTGTTCGATAAAAGAATCATCCTGTATATAATATAATGCATATTATAGGTACTTGGATAGTTTGTAGCTTAAAAATATAGATGACATTGTTTTATTATATAAACATTTTATGGTGATTACCATTACATTGTCATAAAAACAATTATTTGCCTGGCACATTTGAATACATATTTGAAGCTTTAGTTATATAATTAATTTATTGGTATCCGTATTTTATGGTTGGTATTGATTTTTGTATTATGTGGTAGAAATGCCAAGTAAATATAAATAACAGTTATAGAGAAACGTTTGAAGTATATTTAATTAATCATAACAACCATGATGTTTTTTTTATTTGTATCCATATATTGTAAAATTTATAAATTATTCAATATCTATTTTAAATTATTGAAAACTATTTTCAGTTTAAATTATTTATTTACAATAATATATTAATATTTTAATATCGTTTAATTTTTGTAATAATATAATGTCAAAGTTGATTAAATTGATTGTATTTGTTTTATAATTTCACGTGTATTGTTTCAAACAACAATAAATAAAAAATGTGGTGTTCTGAATTTAAAAATAATAATATGTTGTTTTGTTTTACTAATGTGTATGGTATAGAATTGATGAAGTATTCAAGTTGAGTAAATGTAAGTTCTATAACAAACTACTAGATGTCATAAAATATAAAATATAAAGATTAATATATATAGAATATATAAAGTTAATGGATATAAAATGTTTCTATTGTGTTGACATTATAATTTATAACTTTAATAGTTGCTATGTAATTTATCACAAATAATGAAATTTTATGAAAAGTAAATTCAATGTTTCATGAAACAAATTTGTCATTTAACTAAAATAATAACAACTTTTTATATGTTATGTGATTACATATTAATTCAGACATAGCATATATATTTAGTATTTATTTATTTTAAAGAACTTTAATTTTTGCTAAATATTTAATAAAAGGTATTAATACATTCTAAGTATATAAGAAAAGCTTAATATTTTGTCAATTGGTTATTCTTCATTTATAATTATTATAATATATACTTACAGAATGTACTTGGAGTGTAATAATAGGATTTTTTAACAATCATAATAATAACGAAATAGTGTTAAGATAAGTTTGTTTTTACTTAATTTAATGTGAATAATATATTATTAATAATTATAGGAATATATTTAATTAATAAATATATTCATTTAATATGTTGTAAATTATTTAAGGTTCGGTACCACAGATAAAATCAAATTTAAAATATTGACAAAGGAAAGTTATATTTAATTACTTGTATTATATAAAACATTAAATCAATACCTTATTACTTAACTACACAGTATGAAACACTTGGAGTAAAAATATAACTATATAATAGTTACAATACAAAAAACAATTTTTATTACGGTGTAAGATAATTATTTGACGTAGGTATCCATCACCTTAAATTAATGTTGAAAAATTAACATGTTAATAATTATTTTTAAACATAGTTTGTGTATTTAATAAAATAATCAATATAGGCACACAATTATAGTTTAAAATATTAAACATTTTTGACAAATTAAATTATATTATGTTCCATATTAATAATTATTACTACGCGTAATACCTTAATGTGCTATATATTCTATTTCAATCGGTTACCTTTAAATTATTAGTAATAAATACAAAAAAAATAATCATTATTTTGAAAGTGATATCTAAATCATTCGACATAATAAGTTATATAATCTTATAAGTGAAACAAAATTGTTTTTATCACGAGAAATTTGTAAAATCAGAAAAAAATAAAATGGATATACTAGTAATAAATAGGTACTAAATGGAGCAAGAAATGAGTAAAGTGGCTACTTAACTCTATCATGTCCAAAATATCACAAGGTTGTTATACTGTTATACTTTGAATTGTTTAAATTGATTTTTATAAGGCTCTAATAAAAACGGTATTAATATACGTATTTCATTATTAAAATACTACTTATAATATCAAGTGTTTAATTTATTAAATTATCTAAAATATAATAAATAAATTGTTTACTAGTCAAAAAAATCATACAATAATTATTAAAAAAAAAAAATCTAAACATTAAGATAAAAGGTATAAATGATTATAACTTATTATTATAAGTTATAAGTTTTTTCTTCAAATATATACGTAATTTTCGAAGTAATTAATACTTTAAGATATATATATAAAACTATAAACTATTTATCCTAAGATTTCAACAAGTTTATAAAAAATGTGCTTACAGATATCTATATAATATATATTTAATAAATTGATTCATTTTTTGATTAAGTCGTATTGTTTAGTAGGTACCTATTGTTTTTATTTTATTCTTGAACTTTGGATAGTATATAAATAATATGACAAAAAAAATAAAGACGTAATATAGTTTTTATACCTGCCATTATTTTTGTAAAAATTTGTATTTTTTAGAAGTTGGAATTTAAAGTT